CCCCGCCCCCCGCGCCGCGCCGCCGCGCCGTCCAGGCACCGCTTGATGGGGGTCAACAGCACCGCCGCCGCCGCCGCCGCCGGGCAGCCCAATGTCTCCTGCACGTGCAACTGCAAGCGCTCTTTGTTCCAGAGCATGGAGATCAGTGAGTGACCCCGCGCCCCCTCCCCAGGGGCCCCATCGGGCTCGGACCCCGGGTCGGGGCGCAGCTGCAGACCGGCCCGGCCGGTGCGCGCCCCCTCGGGCCATGCGCCCTGAGCCCCAGCTGCGCCCGCCGCACCCCGGACGCGCCCTCCCGGCTCTCGGCAGCTGGCGGCCAGCCCGGCTTTGTCCCGCGGAGCTGCGAGCCTGGCACGGCCCCCGCTGCCCGCGCCCCGCCCTCGGACCCGGGGCCCAGGGGCGGCGCGGCGCGGTGCGGAGGGCTGGGGCGGCCGAATGCGTGAAGTTTCTGTTTTATTTCCCTAAGGGACAGTCGCGGTGGAGCAATTAGGCCGGCCCTTTATCAACTTCGGGCGGGGGCCGGGCGGGGGCCGGGCGGGCCTGTGAGACACTGTCTGCTCTTCGAGGTGTCTGGGGCTCCAGCCGGATGTCTGGGGTGTGTGGCGCTGTCTCCGCGAGTGGATTTCCGTGCGGGCCATGGAGTGTGCGCGACTGCGTGTGTCTGGGGTTCCGTGCTGCTCTGGGTGTCTGTGAGTCCGCGTCGCGTCTGTCCCAGGACTGTGCTTCCGAGCCTCCCTAGTCATTGTCTGGGTCGAGGGCTGGGTGCTCTTGCGTGCGCCTCTGTGGGGTCCAAATCCCTCTGGATCTCAGGGCCGTTTGTGCCCAGGTGTCTGCGTCCAGGTTTCAGTGCCGGTGCGTCTGGCCCAAGCTGGATCCTGACAGAGAGAGAGGGAGAGAGAGAGAGAGAGAGAGAGAGAGAGAGAGAGAGAGAGAGAGAGAGAGAGTGAGTGAGTGTCATTGTGAGTGTCTGTGTCTGTGTTCCCGACGCACCTATAAATAGCCTCTGTCTGGACAGCTTGGCTCAGGCTGGCTGGGACGTTACAAAGGAGTCAAAGTTTGGGGCCATTTGGGTTTGGGTCTGCCCTGTTCCGAAGCGGCCAGTGGAGCAGCCCGGGGAGTGGGTGCTTGAACCTCAACTGAGGTCCAGGTCCTGTGTATCCAGACGTTGAGACCAGTGAGCCTCTGCCTCTTTCATCCTGGCGCACCCAGGCGGCTGTTCTGCTGGTGGGGAATTGAACCCTCCCTATCCTCTCCTGCAGCCCACTCTTCTGGAACCTTTTGGCCCTTTTGAGCTTTAGTTTCCGGTTCTGCCCAGAAGCACCCCAGGTAAAGGGCCATGCATTCCTTCCCTGCCCAAGCCAGCCTTCCAGCCCAGATCGGAGCCCAGGGGCAACCACCGTGGAACCAGGGCAGTCACTAGGTGACGCATGAGCCCGTTTCCACAGGCGGCTGCCACAGTTGGGGCCCCCTAAGCCTATACAGTGAGACACAAGAGGTAAAAATAACCCATGACAGCCCAGCTGTGGCAGGGTGGCCAGGCTCTGGTGGTGAATCCTTCCACCCTCCTAGACTCTTTCCTCCCATACTGGAATTGAAAGTCCTGTTCTCCCCACTGCCCTAGACGCCCTGAGCCAGGCCAGGAGGTGCCAGGAGAACCTGTCCAGAGCCAACGTTTGCGGAATTGACTTGCATTAAACCCAGCTCCCTCCCAAAGGCCCTCTGTGAACTTGGGAGGCTCCTGAAATGCATGAGGATGTTATTAAAATATGTGTGCACATTTGGTGCAGGGGTTGCTGCATAAACACCTGGGCTGCCCTATTCTGCCCCTCACCCAGTAGAGCTGCCTTAGGGGGACCTCTCCCGCCTGGGGTCCACTTTGTGCATCCCCTGTATTCCAAGGTCTAGACACAGACATCCTGGTCTTTTTCACTTTACATTCCGGACTTAAAACAATATATATCATTCTTGTTTCTGCCCTAAGGATGTTTTGGCTGACACCAAGGCATCTTGTTACTACTGCCTGTTCCCCCTGCAAGTTCGCTGCCAGCAGGACTTGAGGGGAGCCTGGAACCCTGGCCTGTTCCCTGGGTGCCCAGTTAGCCCCTGCGTTCTGGTTATACATAGGTCTTCTACTGGAAGAGAGCCTGGGGCAGGGAGGGACTCAGTCTTTCAAATGTGGATATAATGTAACAGTTTGTTGCAAGTGTTAATCAGATTTCCCTGAAAGCCCTGGGTGTGGGAGCCTTAAGGCCTGCTTTTTCCTGGAGTTCCTTTATACGGAAAGATAGGGAGGGAGAGAAGGCAGAGAAGGCGGAAGGGTGTGGGGGGACGGCGACCTGTACTGTTGGAAGCTGCTTGCAACTGTAGACCTGAAGCAGGATTTGGAGTTGGGCCTCAGGGCAGTGTCCATGGGGTTCCTCTAAAAGATTCTGCTAAAGTCGCCCTGACCTTGTTAGGTCCCTTAAGCCAGCCGCCCCCCTCCCCACTTAGTTTTCTCATTTGAAAAGTGAGACCATGATGGCTGATATCTAAAGTGAAAACTCTGCAGTCTTTTTAGGGGTATGCAGTCTTTTCTCCGGAGTGTGGCTGGACATGGCTTCTTGTCTGTGTTCAGCTCCCTTTTGTGGTCTTCAGCTGCCCCAGATTTCACACCTGGGAGGAGCTGTGTGGAGTCTAGAATTCACAGCCTTGGTTTAGAATTGGGTGAAGTTGGTGCTGGAATCTGCCCAAGGTTCCCAGCCCCCAAGACCCTGTGGGGATTGCTCCTCTGGGGACGCACCTGCCACTTCCTGAATTTGGAACTTGGGGCTTGGAGGGGACCTTTAACGCGACAATCCGAGGGCCCATCTTTTCTGATTGTCAAGGGGTTAGGGTGCTGTCTGGTGGAGGTCACTGTTCTCAAAGCCCACAATGCAAAACTCTGCTGTTTTAAGATTAAACACTGTTTAGACACAAGGGAGGCCCCCAGAGGGCACAGTGGGGAGTTCTCTGAGGTTACTTCTGAGGAAAGGATTCTCCTAGGCTCAGATTTTCTCTTGGCACTCTTTGATTGCTTTTCAGTTCTGCTGCGTCTTTGGGAAGTGCCCCTCTGCCCTCTCCAGCTTTGGAGTGAATCTCGGGGTGGGGGTGCTGCCTGGACACACTGGCTTGTAGGCCTCCAGTCTGGCTCATGAGGCAGGCATTTCTGGAGCACCTCGGGATGCCCAGGACCCACCTCTCCAGTGTCTGCAGTGATGTTTTGTTTTGTCAACGCTGCTGGCCGTCCAGAGTCCATGAGCCACTGGTTCTTCTCTGGTGGCTCTTCCAAAATACATTCCAAAGCCCCGGAAACTGAATGGATGCCAGTTTTTCATTGGTCTGTCAGGCACAGTGTTTTCGTTGGACATTGTTCAAATCCAGGGTCTTGGGCTCTACATCAAGACATCCTGGGCCCAGAGATTCCTCGTTGGGTGGTGAGGAAGGATGTCCTGAGCAGGCAGCATCCCTGGCCTCTGCCCGCTGGATACCAGCCCCCCCATCCCCAGCTGTGATGACCAGAAACATTTCCAGCCAGACCCACTGTTTAACCAGCTGTTGGCTTCTCTGGAAGGACGGAAGGCGGGGGCGGCATCTGAGTTGCTAGAGATGACCCTCAGTTCCCTTCCGAGAGCAGGGCTGTCCAGGCTGGCGCCTGCCGAGTGTCCCCTCGGCCTTTACTGAGTGCCTGTTGTGTGCTACCAGGGCTGGGCACAGAGCCCTTTCTGCAGGGGAAGCTTTCTCTTTTTGTCTTTGATTTGTCTTTGAGGACGGAGTGGTATCAGGAGAGCCTAGTGTCTGGGGATTCAGGTTCAGCCATGGATGTCGGCGCCAGCTGTTTCCCTGTGGGCCTCTAAGCTGGGACTTGTAACCCACGGGTTTCCTGCTGTCTGGGTTTTAGGTCACGGTGCAGTGAGGGAGTTGCATGTTATGACTTCGATCTTAGGTCAGACGTTTGGCTTCGGCCTCTCAGGAGATATGGGATAAGCCAAAGGGTGATCTGGGGTCAGGGGCCAGTTAGCATTGTCAGTTACAACATAGCCAGTTGCTTCTGTGCATGCCTGTGCATGTCTGCGCACACACACACACTACATGCACGCATGCATGGGGTATGCTTACACACTCATGTACTGCCCCTTTCTTCCTGCCCTGCTGGCTTCCCTTTGGGTTGGAAATGGTTAAAGCATCTCGGTATGTAAGAGAGAAAAGGGGAAAAGGTGCACCTTCCCCCATCCAGCTTCTGAGAATTGATGCACATGCCCTTTGGAAGAGAAGGAAAACAGGGTTTTCTTTGGGGTGCCTCCCGGGGTGCCCCCTTCATCCTACAGGATGAACCTCCATCAGACTGCCCCAGAGCCACTGGCTCCAGGGGCCCAGACACCAGGCCATGGGTGTGGAGACATTTTTGACTTGGTCAGTGATTTAAAAGTAACAAAATGTCTGGGAGAAGCCAGTGGGGCCCAAATTGGATCAGTGTGGCCTTTTCTCTTCCGGTGTGACCTTCGAAAAGTTGGCAGCTGGACTCGGCCCTGAAGGAAGCTACTCTGAATTTGCCTTGAGGGGCTGCACGCGCACTTCGAAGCTCAGGGCTGCTTTTGTCTTCCTAAAAGGCGTTGTGTAATCAGGCACGGTGGGGCACATGTGGGGAGGTGGGCGTGCTGGGGGTGCCTGCTCTTTGTACTTCCCGGTGAGCTGTGGAGATGGCACCATGCTGCCCCGGGGCTTCCCAGGGCCCGAAAGCAAGGTTCCCAGTGAGCTCTTCTGGGTGGCCAGGGGGACCTGGGGCATGAGTTTTGTCTGAAGGGGCTCCTGTGGGCTGGGCTGTAGCTCCATGGTAGAGCATTTTGCTAGCATACACGAGGACCATAGGTCCCATCTTCAGCTCTGCAAAAATTTTTTAAAAGGGCTTCAGCACACAGTCGCCTCGAGGGCCCTACATAGCCAAACCTTTTGATTCCAGGCAGCCTGTGCAGCTAGATTTGGATGTAAAACTCCTAGCAGTTCCTCCAGAAGAATTAAGAGGGCCTGCAAAACTTACCTACAGAGGTATGGCAGTGTGACCAGGGGTGAGTGGGACAGAGGAGCCCGAATGCACTGGCTGTGTCACCTTTGCTGTCCCTTGGCAGTCTG